TCAGTGAAAGAGATTTTCACTGGTTAAGTCCATGGGTTTATGGAACAAATTGTTCACATTCGGATTGTCTTTTCACCAAAGTTGAGGTATAAGTAACAACACCCCATAGGCCCAATAGAAACAACCAAGGCTTATTCCCACAACTATACAATATTGTGTCATGATGCATCAAAAAAGCTCTCCAAATTATCCCTTGGCTATCAAGGGCTTGAAAGTAGAAAATCCATTCTTCCTTTGACTTTACTTTAGGCCATGTGCTATAACAAAACTCCTTGATTGAAATGCTAAAATACAGGTACGATTTATGAAACTAGCTTTCTTCACACTCAATGTGACTTTTTATCCATACATAGAGCAATTGTGAACATCCATTAAATCGACCTTTACCATTTCTACGACAAAAGTTCAAAAAGCGAATGGTTTCTGCTAAAATGGTTGAAACTGCATTTACTTTGTATGTTAATTGATCAACAAAGTTTATCACTACAACATCAACATACCCAATGACTTTTGGGAAGATCATTAGTCCATATAGAGCTATAGCCATTGTCACTAACCCCTAATCATCATCCAGATGCCACTGGATGAAATCTTACAAAAAACTCTATGGGATAACCTTACTTTCACCTTTTGTCTTGACACATGCATCAACTTGAGGTAGGCTAAGTCCAAGCATTTGCACCAACTTTTTACGATAGCCTACCTTATTTGACCAATAGATCTTGTCCGAATTTGATAAATTAAATTGAAGTAAGACCATATATTCTTCAATTGTGGGTATCATGTCTACTTCATTGAAGATGAAACACCTATAAAAAGGATCCCAAAACTGGATGATGGCTCTAATTAGATTATTTTCCACATTCACTTGGAGCAGTGATGATATGTCTCCATATTTGTTCTTAAATGCCTTTTACCTTGCTCTACTTATGCATTCCAAATATTACTTAAGTTAGTCAAGTCATTTTGTTGGAGGTCGAGATGAATTTTCTTAGGCAATGATGAGATAAAACCCTCAGGCAAGCAATCAGCCTATCTTCTTTAACTTTTTTCTGACTTAATTTTCAATTGATGAGCAGATTCATGACAAGTTGATGCAGACCTTGATTGCATTTGGCTTTCCATAAATATAGGTGTGAGATCTGATTTAACAATAACTGATATGTGGTAAATATTTTCTAAATGAGAATAATGCAAATGATAATGTTAAAACATGAACATGAAAATGATGCATAAAATGATATGATATGAAAATGATGTAGATGCAGATGCACAAAATCAAATAAACAAAGGTTAGATAAGCAATATACAAGTTGTTCCTTCTTGTGTCCTAGTTTTGGGTTACATTTATCATAGGTAAGAAGGGCTCTATCTTAAGGCTGACTTCTTAATAGTGGACTATATGCAAGGTTAGGTGATTTTGACCACTAAAGGTTCTCAAACTATTGCTTACATTATCGTCCATTATAGACCAGTAAGGCAGTCCTATTCTCACCCATCATAGGCTACCAACGAAAATGATTCAATTTGAGTGGGAGTATTTTCGCTAACAATTACGGAGATTATCATCTCAGGAAAGCGTAAGTACTTTACTCTCTCCTAAGAGGGATGAAACTCAGGTATAGACCTCATGTAATGTAAATGCATGTGATAGTGTCTGTGAAGGAACATATAGGTTTCATGCCCTCAAAATCAAATAAGAAACAAAAAAAAAGAAAAATGTTAGTAAACAAATAATTTACAATTTAAAACTATCAGATCAAAGGATAAATTTAAAAGTTTATGGTTTGACTCTCTATGGCAATCCCCAATAGAATCGCCAAATTGTCATAATCCATAAATCTATAACTAGACTTAATAAATTGATAGAATCACCACCAATTTTTTTTAACTAGGTGTGATTGGTCACCTTATGAATCTATCCTCTTAAGGAGCTCTTAAGCTTGACTAAGAGTCCCTAAAAGAATAGGTTTGGGTCTACAAATCAGAACATGGTTTGAGAGTTTGATTACTTGTGAAGAAGGTTATAGCACCCATACATGCTCATCCAAAGGATGGTACCATTTTATTTTAAATTTATCCTAAAGTCTTGAATCTAATGGTCTTAAATTATTATGTTAAATATTGAAAATAATTTATAAGATTCTTCTATCAATCTGATAGAACTCTTAAAAATATTTTCTCACCTCAAGAGTATTCAAAGATCTCATTTATTTTCTTAAAAAGACCCCGTCATCGAAAAATGTTTAATTATTTTTTTTATCAAAAATATATATAATTATTCTACCATTTGGGCCAAATTAGAAATATTTTCTCCTTTTTTAATTTATAAATTTTTCACCATTTAAGCCTATTTAGAAATTCTCTTTATTTATTTTTTTTAAAAAGAAAATAATATGACAATTTTTTTTTTTTGGAATTTCATTTAAATTCTTCCACCATTTGGGACAAATTTAAAGAAATTTCTCATCTAGAGATTTTTTAAGAATTTACCATTTAAAATTTTTAAGAATCCCATCCTTGGATAATTATCAAATATTTTCAATCAAAATTTTTATTTTTTTTATTTTTTGGTTTTATTTTTTTATTTTTTTATTTTGTTGGAAAATAAATATTTATTATTATTATTGAAACTTCATCTAAATTATTCCACAATTTAGGATAAATTTAGACAAAATTTTTCACCTATGAATTTTATAAAAATTTACCATTTGAGATTTTTATAAATTCTATCATTGGATAATTAATATTTATTCCCAAATTTTATTATTTATTATGTTACCTTTTTATTTTTATTAAATTCAATCATGAAAAATACTAAAGAAAAAAAAAACAAACACAAAAATAAATTTAAAAATACCAAAAAAAGACGAAACAGCTCCATTGGAAACTTGGCGCTGCCCGGCTCCAGGCACATGAAGCAGCTCGAAGGCGCGGCTCGATATGTGGCTTGACTCCACTCAGCAGCTAGGTTCGATTGGGACGCAAGTCACTGGACCGGATTGCGATTGGGTCGGATCACCCACTAGCAAAATGCATGGATCCTGGATTCTTTTAACTCCCAAACGATATCATTTTACGATGGTATAAAAGGCAAATATTTTCAGTTTTCCCTTTAGATTTCCCTTCCCCTTTCTCTCTTCTCTTCCTTCTTCTTTCTTTTACTTTTCTATACGTAGAAATTCTGTTGAATATTTCATCGAAAACTAGGAAACAATGTCAAAAACTGAAAAAACATGGCCAGAAAATATGAATTTCGTCGAAAAAGTTTGCCCAAATCTGGAATTTCAAGAAAATTTTCAGAAAAAAAACACCAAAAGTTCTTTAAAAAATTTCTAAAAATCCTAAGACTGCTCATACTCTTCTAAACACCCTTTTTTTTTTTTTTGCTTCTATTTTTTCCCCTCTGTGTCCTCATTACTTTTGATCAATAGATATTTATAGGGATTAATTACAGAGTTTGTGACTAATCCGAATTCTTTTTTTATTAGGTTTCTGGATTATCATATTGAATCTATCCTATGCTAGTTAAATCCACCTATGACTTTACCAGCCTTATTCACGGTAGGATTCATTCTTATTTTTTATTATTTTTAATTATTTTGATCTTTATCATTATCTCTTAAAACTAATAGAAAATTAATCAAAAACAAATAAAATCTAAAAAAAAAAAAACAAAAATAAAATAAATAACTATTTAGTTAAAACTCAATCTTTAAGTTTAACTGATCCTATTGAACCGGCTCAATTGATTCAGGTCTAGATTAAATTGGATGTCTACATACAATATAAACAGCTTTTATCATCATATTCTTCACTTGTATCAAACTTACAATCCCTTACTCTTCTACGTCGTTGATTTACCCTCTTACTCTTTTCAAGTTTATAGCACATAAGAAAGTGCAACAAAATTCCCAAAACGAGAACCAGCTTGCAATGCATCCCCGTACCATTGTGCAGCGACCCATTTTGTGTAACAGATAAAAAAGAATAGAATTGTACATCATTGAAGAAACAATTGACTAAAATTCTAAAGAATTTTTTTTTTTTTTTTTAGTCTAGAGATATAAAATTCTAAAATCTGGCTAGCTGGGCCTAAATCCTATCCGAACTTACCAATGTACGACAGAACCAACACCATGATCAACTTCAGTAGATTGGCAGTGCACAAATTCTCTATATAACAGATAAAATCCCATGTTGATCGAAACAAAGGGGAAATTAATTTAACTTCCTAAAACCAAGATTACTCTACTCAAAACAAAAGTTGGATTTTTTAGGAGGCTGAACCATAGTGTTAGTAATGTTGTTTATCAAATACAAGGCAGAAACCAAAAGGATTTTACCTGCAGGACTTTCCAGCAAGAAATTGGAGTGAAGAGCCAAAAAGTTTGCCAATGGCGTCTGTGAAGCCTGAGAAAAATGAACTGATTACATTGCCCAAAATCAAATCCGTTCCCTTGGTATGGAAGGCACACTATATCTTCCTAGTTCTAATTAACTCCTGCATTGGAATACAAGTAAGATCCAACAACAACATAAGGTTAAAGAACATGATCAATGCTAAAATAGAAATCGAGTGTCCATTGACATTAATCTAACAAATGTATTTGTCTTGGCCTTCTAGTTGTATGGGTTTCGGGCTAAAAGAGAAAGGAGAAGAAAATGAAGAGATTAATAATAGATTGTTACCATGATCCAATCAAACATCAACTTTAAACGTCCAATTACTCGTCGACGGATCTAGTGTTAGAAGCCTCAGACTTTGGAACAGTATTTTCTTTTTTTTATTTTCTCCCTTAAATTTGTTTATATAATGATAAAAAAAATAATAAATTACATCAATTAAAAAATTTATATCTTATCTCTAAAAAATATATTTGTCGGTTTTAAGATGAAAAAAACAAAACCGTTCATCCATCAAAAATATGGGAGAGGAGCACCCAAGCCCAACCCATTTCATCCAACATAATGTATGCATCAGATCTAAGAAGTCAACAGGAAAAACAAATTGAACTCATCACGTGCACCGGAATTCCACCATGCTGCCAATAATGTATAAAACTTGGTCTATCAAATTTTTCAGAATTTATCAGATTACATCAGATTTGAGCACTTGCGAATGACAAATAAACTGAACACTTTGGCTGCACTTTAATCCATCCTTCCCTTCAAGATTCTTTCCTTTACTTCAGTAGGTGTGCTGCAAAATGAATATATCAAATACGTTACAATGGCACCAATTATCACAGCTGCAAATATTTAAGGTTTTTAGCCATCCAGAGATATCATCATTCGACAAACAACCAAATACTGCATTCTCTATAGGAGAAAGGGAAGGATCTCGAGGGTTATAAACAACCAGATTCTCTTGGGCAAACGTATAACAAATATGACCCTAGGAAATGCCAGCAAGAGAATATATATGAAAGACATTTGGAAATGCTTACACAACATAGACATGTCCTCCCCAACCACTCAGACAGTCACGATCTACTGATGAAAGGAGAGCTTGGGAAACAGTTTCAAACAATTCTTCAGGTTCCTAAATAAGAAGAAAACAATGAGTCAATAAAGTATGAATTGTATTCCTGGCATGAATAATTTATAGCTAACAACCATAATACTTTTTAACTATGACCCAGTAAACTGTAACCTGACTACTCCAAAAATGGGCACTTAGCTTTTAGGTTACAAGAACATAAGGAAAGGAATTTTAAACTTCTTAAAAGGGTTCATCACTAATGTTAATCTGTTTTAATTTGAGCATAGGAAAATAAATAAAATGACAAACCATGTCCTCCTTGAACATTGACTCACAGGCACCATAAAGGGACTCAGAGGCAGTGCCAGCTACAACAAAATCTTTTGCAAGCTCCCTGCATTTAAAAGAAAGAAAACATAACAACCAAAATATTGTCAGCATTTGCTTCAAGAGGCTTTCAGTAACCAAAACAAAGAATTTGAAGAATCATTCAACCCATAAGATTTAAAATAGTATTGCCAGGCAATAATCCAACTCTTTGGTACCAAATATAGACAAACACAATATGCGAGGTAATCATATGATAAAAATTGTATGACTACACTAACAGGCATTTAATAGTAAAATCTGAGAGAGAGAGAGAGAGATGACAAGGAAATGACACAAGATAAATTGTGATACCATCCAGAATTCCTTCGATGTTAAAAAATCATGCCAGATATTATCCTTTTAAAATTTTGATGGCATCACAAGTAAATTGCAAAGACTGATATAAATGCTACCTGTATCCAAAACTTAAGTCACAACTACTAAATAACTTCGATATTTCTTCTGCTTGTTAAGTTATTGCTATTTCAGGAAGGGTAACCGCACCTGTCCTCCAATTCTAGCAATTTCAAAGTCAGAAAAAGAGAAGAGGGTAACAGCTATCCATGAATACATGGTGGTCTGTAAAAGTTAAACCCAATAGCTATTCCATTTTAAAGAGCCATTGACCACCAAGCTTTCAGAATTTTTCTTTTTAATGCAATCAATATGAATATATACATTTTATGTTTCCTTGAAAACCAAAGAAACACACAACGTTTTTAAGATTTATATTTCTTAAAGGTATTCACATCAATATATATAAAAGAAAAAAGAAAATGTTATATAGAAGGAAATTAACCATATAGAGTTGGTGGCTAGGGATGTTTTCTTCCGATTTATCATGCATGAAAGAAGATGAAGTAAAAAATGCAAAGGGGGTGTTGCTCTTAATTTTGCTAACATCATGCAATTATTTTTTGAGATCCCAAGACCCTAGTTTGTCAAGCATCAAGGATCATGCTTGTAATGAGTTGTCAATGACAAAGTTGGAACAATAATGGGATTCTTTTATTGATCAGTACCAAATTACTGGTTTTGAACAATTGAAGGTTATTTTACTAAAAAGTGCTCAAATTTCTGGTTTTGGAATAATAGTGGGTGGATTCTTTTACTAAACAGTTTTAGAGTTTCTGGTTTTCTCTCTTAGATGTCACAGGTCTCTAGGAAATCTGCTATCATAAAGTAAAAGTTCTTCTCTCTTCAGCTCTTGATTAAGATATGAAACAAAGTTTTGAACAGCAGAGCTTATATTTACCAAAGGAAAAGGTACGCACATTTATTTTACAAGAACCAGCTTCTTGGTTAGGTAAACACTACAGCATAAGTATAAAAAAAAAAAAAGAATATTCTAGGCAACTAAGACAACTTCCAGCTTTTTTGTTTCAAAAATTACAAGAGAATGAAATCAACTTACTTGGCTCCAATGGAATCCATGGTGCAAATGAAGGGCTTGTCTTCATCTCCCAATCCAGCAATTACCGGTTGGCAGAAGTATGGACCAAACCTGAAATTATGAAAATGGCAGCCAAAGAATATATTTGATGCTGAGTTTCTTATCATAAGATAAGTGGGTCATTTCCCTTCAATGACATATGTAAGGCTTTTTCCTTGACATGAACATCATGAATTTATCCTCCCCGAACTTCATATATTTAAAAAGAAAGATCTTTATTCAAAAGCACTATATAGCAAAAACAAATCTCATTTTACCACTTCTAGACTACTCCTACTATCTTAATCACCGCTATCCTTAAGAAATCAATTTCTCTCATGGTACTTTTTCTAATCCTAATGCGGAACTAATCAAGAGTTAGTATTTGGCAGCATAAAACAAAACTAAAGCTCTCCATTTCTTCCATTAATTTTAAAAGCTAAGCTCAATTGTTTAAAAAGAAAAATCTAAGTAATTAATTAAACTAAGCCAAAAGTGAGTAATTGGGGATTTTGAACAAACCTTTTCTCGTAAAGAAGAGCAGAAACAAGGTTAGCAAAAGTCTCGGGTTTCATGTCCCTCTCTTCTCTTAGTTGATACAACTTGTGCCGAAAGACGAGCCTTTGATACCTTCAATTTAAAAAAAAAAAAAAAAAAAACCCAAATATTAGGATAAAACGTATAATATTTTTTTGGGGAAAAAAGTTAAGGGAAGAAAAGGGTACAAGGTTTGAGCATCGGTAGCAAGGCCAGAGAGACCGAAAAAGAGGCGGTCGTGGATTTTAGAAATCCTCTGAAAATCGGTGGCGATTGTTTGGAGTTGAACTCCGAGTCTCCGATCGCTTGCGATGGCGAAGCAGTTCTTGCCTACCATGGCTACTAGGGCACTCCCATTGTACTCGAAGATCTGCATCATTATCCACCCAAAAAAAAAAAAAATCTTTTACTAAGCTTCGAAGAATTAGGGTTTCAAAAATGAAAAGAAAAAAGAGAATTAGAAAAGAAAAATGACGTACCGACATCGGAGAAGTTAGGGTTTTCGTAATTTAAATTAATTCCGCGAGAAACTGATTTTGTTTTAGCAAAAATAAGTTTAAAAGGGGAAGAAGAAGACTGTAATATGGCTTGGAGGTCACTCCAGCTTCCAGAGCTCCGAGCTCTGCACTTCTGGTTTTTAAAAGAAATAAATAAAAAAAATAAAAGTTATAAAAAGGCTGAATTTAATGGGCTGGTTCAGTTGCCGGCAAATGGGCTGAATTTAATGGACTAGCTTATTACGAGGATATTACACTTTTTCCTATAAAAATTTAGAGGAAGAAAAATTAGCTAATTTATATTGAATTTATAAATAATTTATTTTAAGGGTAAAATATTAAATTTTTATTAATTTAATTAACTTTTGTTGACAAAATATTAACTTTTTATCCCTCTCTTCAGCCTACCTAATAAAAATGTTGGATCTTTCTATTTGTTTTCTTGATTTCTAGACTTTACTATTGAATCAAGTTTGCTGATCAGACCAAATCAGTTCCCTAACAAACATATTTGGTTATAAAGTCAAAAGTTCACATGAATCTAATCACCAAATTTAGTTCACATTAACACCTAAACCCTATTAAGTGATTTTCTTTACAAATAGGGTTAAATATTACCTTTGAATTATATACTTTTTTTAATTTGGTATATAAAATAATAAAATTATCAAATTAATACTTCAACTTTCATTTCGTTATTATCTTGATATCTCGAATTAACGCTGTTAATTTTTAATGCTAACATGACATAAATATCTAATAAAATATTAATATATCCTAAAAAACTCAATCAACGTCGTATCACTAATATTATATCAATATAAAAAGTTTTTAAAAAAATTTTTAAAAATTCTAAAAAAAAATTTCAAAAGTTCTAAAAAAATTTAAAATTTCTAATAATTATCCAAAAATTAAAAAATAAGAAATATTTTTAAAATTTATGAAAATTATGATATTTTCAAATTCAAAAATATGAAAAATTAATAAAAAAAATCTAAAAAGTTCAAAATTTGAAAATTTTAATAAAAATTATATATTTTTTAAATTTTTTAAAAAATACAAAAACTTAAAAAACTAAAATTTTAAAAAAAATCTAAATTTTTTGAAAATATTTGAAAGTTAAATATATATATGTGTATATAAATTATTGAAAGAATATGAAATTTTTAAAAAAATTTTGAAAATTTTTAAAAACTTTTGAAAATGTAAATAATTTAAAATTTTTGAAACATTTTAAAATTTTTATAAGATTATGAAAATAAAACATTTTAAAATTTCATAAAAATTAAAAAAAATGCAAAAAAAAATTTTGAAAATTTTAAAAAAATATAAAAATATATATTGTAGGATTAAAAAATGAAAAAATTTCTAAATCTTTAAAATTTTTGTTACAAGTTTTAAAAACTTTTTAGATTATTTTCAATAATTTTAGACTTTTTTATTTTAAATATTTTTAAGATTTGTGATTTTTTTTTAAGTTTATGAAAATTTTATTTTTATTAAAATTTTCATTTTGTTGAATTTTTTTATATTTTTGAAATATTTTGGCTTTTTTTTTTACAAATTTGAAATTTTTTGAATTTTTTAAATTTCCTTAATTTTTTTATTTTTCAAAATATTTCAAATTTGTAATTTTTTATAAGTTTTAAAATATTTTAGATTTTTTAAAAAAAATTCAAAATTTTTAAAAAATTTTGAATATTTTAAAATTTTTAAAAAAATTTTTAGAATTTTTAAAATTATTTCTTTTAATGCTGGAGTGGCATTGATAATGTAGTACTAACTACATTTTTTTTTTTACATATATTAGTATTTTATTAGACGTTAATGCCATGTCAATAAGTTGACTAATAACTTTAGTTTTACGTAGTAAAGTAAATGATGGAATGAAAGTTAGAATATCAAACTATAAATTTTTTTTTAAAATACTAAACTAACAAAATTTGTATAATTCAAGAACCATTTTTATATTTAACCCTTATAAATAAGTGGATATATCATTTTCATTTACTTTAAAACAACAAAGCATGTATTATTGTCATAGCTATTCATATACTTTTGAATGGTTTGACAACTTAATTAAGTCAACTCATTTGGAATGCAAAAGAAAAACTAATCAGAGTTTTTTTTTTTATGTAAATTTTTATTTAAATGAAAGTTTAAATTAAAAACCAAGATCAATAAATTGATAAAATTTACAATTTGGTTTTTGTATTTTTCACTATTGATTTTGTACCCAAATATTTATACCTTTTTATTATTGATTTCGTATTTGAAGCAGTTTAGGTCTTTTAAAAAAAAGTTTATCAAGTATTAGAATTTAAATTTTAAATTTGATAAATAATAATTTTTAAAGATAATTTGTTAGTCTTGAATTGATCCTTATTTTGAAATAACAAAACATTAAATTAAATAGGTTGATTGAGATTTTGAAAAAGGTTTATCTAATACATATTCTTAAATTTTATTATTTTTATACTAAATAAATAATATGTTTTTCAAAGTGTAAACAAACTTTTCTTTGTTTTCGTATTTCTCAAATCAAAACTATTTTTAAATATTATTTATTTGAGCTTAAATGAAAGTCTAATTGTTGTTTTTAAAATAAACTTATTTATCTTGGTCTCTATAAAATTTTGATAATATTAGTTTTAAGAAATAGATTAACTTAATAAAGTTGTTTTGTAATAATAAAGTTTTTTTGTAAGAATAAAGTTTTCCAACATTTAACTTATTTTATTTTTTTATTTTAATTCACAAAGTTTTAATATTTAAATTTTATATGGTTGAAAAGCTATTTGAGTCTATTTTCTAATTGATCAAACAAAATTCAAATTCAAATTTAAAAAAAAATTTTAATTTTTACTAAAGACTATACAGTTATTTAAAAACTACACAATGGATAGTTTTAAAAATTCACTATAATTTTTTTTACATTGAATTAGATGATAAATTTTATATGAATAGAAAACTCCTTAAGTTTTGTTTTTAAATCTTTAATCAATTCTTGATTTGGAGTTATATAACTTAATATTCAAATAAGTAAGTAAAATGCAAAATAAGAGACTACCAATAGCACTGCTTATCCAAAATCACTAAGAATACAAAATCTGGCTGACCCAATCAATCGGGTGCCAAGACCAATTGATCCCCTCAGCTATAAAGATAAAAAATTAAGTGAAATTCAAAAACCAATCGATCCATTCGACCAAAACAAGCTCTAATAATTAGTTTTAAATGAGGAAAACATGGTTTTTCATTTCCCAAGCATTCTCAATGGTTATTTTTCTATTTTCCTCTATAAATTAGGCATTTCAATACACTACGAAACTGATGAAACAAGATAGTAGTATGAAACAAGTCATATATTTATTTTTTTAAAGAAATCAAGAGTTTTAGAGCTTTAAAGTCTATATCCTTATATTTATTATATCTAAATCATATTTGTTATTAAATTATCATTTGTTATACTTAAACTTAGCAAACACTTAGTCTTAGAGAGGTTATTCTATTATTTGCAAAATTATCTTTGATATAAAAAGGGGAAAGAGAGTAAGAGGTGAGATATCCTCTTGAAAATTTTGTAGTGAGATTGGATAAAATACTATAAAGGGTAAAAATTTCTATCTTAAGCCTTAAAGAAAAAAAGATAGGGTTGTAGTTTTAATTCAATATTAGTAAATTGGAGCCATGATGTGGACAACCAAGAAAAGAGGACGTAAGTGTCTTGTGAAGAATAATTGAACCTCTATAAATCTTTATGTTTAATTTTTGCATCTTTATCTATTTATTTTCATTGTTGATTATATTTACTTCAAGATATATCAATTGTTGTCATTTGCATCATATTTTGATATTAATTATAATTTTTCATTCAATTATTTTTAAACTATTGTTTCGAAAGAATTTGAAAAAATTCAATTCATCTCTTTTTAGATACTATCTCACCTAAAAAGTTAACATAATTTTATAAACCAAGTAATGTTAAGCCTAGCATTGCAAATGTGAAAAGAGCGAGAGAACAAAATTCTAAAAATTCAATGGTCAATAATTAAGCATAAAAATTTTAAACTAATCTTTCTTTTTAAGGATTATTTGGATAGACAGTAAGATTAGTTCTGGTAAAATTAAAAATAATAGTGGCAATGAGAGTAATTACTATAGCAGTGAGATTAGATATTTTAGTGATGAAATTAGAATCACTGATAGAATATGTGTTTGGATAACAAAACAGCGGTGATGGTGAGGTAAAGTATTGTAATAAAAAAATTATCATTAAAGACATTATATTAAAATTTACTATAATAATTTTTTTATTAATTAAAAATATTTGCATTTATTTTTATATAAAAATAAATATTTAATGATAATTATTAAATTACATATTTATTTATATAATGAATATATAAAATTCATTTATTATTTTAAATAATTAATTTAAAAAAATAAAAAGATAACAAAATAAAAAGAGGTAAAACGGAAAGAAAGCTATAATGAGCATAATTGTTAATTTTGTTTCGGCACTGACCATTCTGACTGATACACTCCAGTTATATCAAAATACTGAACACTTAGGATGATTTTTCATATCGAATAATACTTGTTATTTTCATTGGTTTTGGTTAATTTTGATGAATTTTGATGGATTAATATGTTTCGATCGATACGTGAATGTGAAATATATTTTATAATTTTTAACTTGTCTTTTGTTGTTTAACTATTTTTAACCCAATAAAAATAAAATTAATTGAAAAAATAACCATTAAAAGTTGAATTTCTTTATTTTTTATTATAATTGATTTTCTTTTATACTTTATTTTTTCAAGTCAAAGTTTATAATTTTATACTTTATTTTTTAAAACAAAAATTTATAACTATGCAATATCTTTCGATAAAGCAATTATACTTCATTTATAAAATTTAACAATCATAAAATTTTGGTTAAATTTTTTCATTTATTTGTTTTTATTTTAATATTTACATAAAAATACTTATTTAAACATTATATGATCAGATTAAATGTTTAAAAATATCATGAAAAATTTATGATATTATTTTTTATATTTTTAAATTTGTTTATTTGATTTTTGAAGATATTATATATTTATTTTACAAATTATTAATAGTATTATAATATACAAATTTATACGTATTTATAAATATATTTATATTAAATTAAAAAAATTGAAATAATATATCAAAATAATTGATATTAGTATATATTATATTTTTATAAAAAATTAAAATATTATTTGATATGTTATTAACAATCTTTATAATAAGTGAAAATTTTTTTTCACTGGACTTTTAAAGTCCGGTCCCCATCCATTGCCGCGGTCCAGTGAAAATATATAAACTACATTGAAACTTTGTTATTCAAGTACTATATAGATTTCGATTGGCACAAATTTTCTTGAAAAACGCAGTTGCTTTTGAATCCAAATGCACACTTAGTGCCTTGCTCAAGTCTCTCACATTATAAAATCATTTCAACTTTCTAGTGAGTAAACCGCGGAATCAATCTTCGAGGAAATGCCCAAATTGAGAAAGTCGAGGAGGACTAGCTTGGCAGCGGATTTGGAAGAAGTGGAGTGAATGAGGTGAGACCGTTGCGAAGGTGTTTGAGGGAGGTATTTCGTAGAAAAAATAATTAAATTTATCACTTTCTTTGATAAAATGCCAAATTGTGATTTATTAAAATGTACAAAATATACTATTTTATATTAATAAAACAATGTATATCAATTTTTCATAGAGAGTGCATCAATTTTTCTTTTAATATATCTAAAGAAAATCATCCTTCATGGTACAAAATACACTGTTAAATTTTAATTTAGAATTAATAAACTTTAATAAAATAAGAAAGTTAATAAATTTAATTTCCTCCGACAAATCATTTTTAAAATTTAAAACTCTTCTAAAAAGTAAGTTTTTTTTTTTTTTTTAGATTCTCTTCCCCCCAACTCCTTCATTTAATTTAATAAACAACAAATTGAAAATTTTGAAAAAAAAAATATATGATGCATTATATAGGTCAAAATCATGAAAAAAAAAAAAGCCTGGACCTACCAAGTTGATACTTAACCATAATATGCATTATATTGCATCGTGTAACATGATGCCAATGTCAATTTTTAACATATTGGGAAGAGTATAAAACCCAAAATACTTTACTACTGTAATGCTTGATTATTATTTTTATAATTAATATTAGTTTTTATTTCATTAAGAGTAAAAGGTTAGTATGAGAAACAAATATATAATAAGAAAATATTGATTAAATAGAAAATTGTTTAATATATTAGTGAAAATAAACTCTGATGACATGTTGAAGGTTGTCACATACGTATATTTAAAAATTTTAATAAATTAATATAATAAATAAAAATATGTCATAATATAATAAATAAAAATTTATTGACAATATTTAAAACAAACATTAATAAAAAAAATTTCTCTTGTTACAATAGTCTTCATAATTTATGATCATATATGATGTATAGTATTAGTGATAGGATAAGATGATAATTATTTTATTTAATGTTTGATTTGTATCTAAATAGAAGGATAAAAATTGTAAGGAGCATTACTATTCTCTTGGTATAAAATTATTCAATCTTTTTCAAGTAGAGAAGATTATTTTTAACTAATGAGATTAAATTTATATATTCGATTATATCCTTAAAAATTATATTAATAATTTAAATTATATAAATTTTGAAAAAAATAATTTTGATAAATAAATAAATTATTTTATCATAATCTATGCATATATTAAATATAAAATAAGATGATATTATTTAATCAAATTATATTTATAATATTATATTATTTTATCGTATTATAATATTACATATCAAATATGACATATAAATTTAATAAAAACTAGAATTAGCTTACGCTTTGCTGGGTGGATTTTTTTGGTGAAAAATTTTTATTATTTTGAATATAAAAGTAATAACAAGTAAAACAAAAACTATTATAAAAATATTAAAATTAGAATACATATATACTATTTCATATATTGTGATTATTATTTTTTGTTAATTTTTCATACTATATCATGAGTATTATATTTTTATTAATTATTTAATCAAATGTATGATTTTTTGATTTATTATAAATTATATTTTTTTGTAAAAATATTTAAAACCAAAAGAAAGGAAAACAAACAACAACTTAATTTTTTATTTTATGTTTTTATACTTATATTTGTCATTATTATTATATTTTTTTATATATTAATTTTTATTTTATTATAGATAATAAATAATAAAAATTCAAAACTTATAAAAAATATACCTAATTACAAATACATATCAAACAAACATCTCTATTTCTTTTTCTGATCCAATGAAAGTCCAACTCATCGTGTCCCTTCCAATTAAAGCCTAACACACCATGATTTTCAAACCCAAGAAACTTATTTCACTTTTTTATTTATGAAAAACCTAACATTTTTTTATTTTTTTTTTGATTTTACCAACCTTTATATTTTACTAATTATTCTATTAAAAATTAAATTAAAAATCTTTTTATTAGAATATTTTAAAAATATTTTAAACATTTTTAATAAATTTTAAAATCTCAGCTTGCAATTTTTTTTAAAAAGTTTGATCATCAAAATAATTTTCATTTATTTTTAAAATTTTATAAAATTTGTATGATACAAATAAATAAATATAATAATAAAAATTTATAAATTTATTGATCAAACTAATATTTTATTTTTTTATGTTGTCAAATGATTAAAATATTATTTAATCTAAAAAATTAAATATGTATGTAAATGAAAATAAACAAATCAATAAATAAAAACTAAAATAAATAGAACAAATAAAAACAAAAATAAAATAAAATAAAATAAAAAAATAAAAATAGAAAGAGGAAAACCAAAACCAACAAAAAAACTTAATCGAAACGTGGCAATGAATGGACAGCCCATTTATTGAGTTGTCTTTAATTAAGAGAGTTCTGCCATTAAGGCAACTTTATTTGCAAGTTATTGATCATGATTAAGATTAATAATGTTACGTTCTTATATTGAAATAAAATAATTTTTTCCTATAGATCTAAAAGTAAAAAATAAAAAAAATTATATTAATTTAAGTAGATTCATCTTTATAATAATAATAATAATAATAATAATAATAATAAAATTAAAAAAAATCTCAAAGGATTGTAATGTGATACCTATTTAATATTATAAAATGATCATTTGACCCCTTTAATATTCTAAAATGATTATTTTACTTTTTGAATTAAAATAAAATAATTTAAAATGTAAGTGATAAAAAATTAAAAAAATTAAAATAAAAAACTGGATTTATAAATTTTAGAATTCCCAAGGGATTATATTACAACTCTGTCCTGCACTGTAAAATAATTATTTTATCCTTTTTAACATTATAAAATAACCATTTTATCTTTTAAATTTCTAAAGAAAATTTATTTAAAAATTCCTAAAAAAATTATATTTTGACACATATCTAACATTATAAAATAATAATTTTACCTTTTCTTAACTCTATAAAATAATCATTTTATCATTTAATTAAAATAAAATAATATTAAAATATAAATAATAAAAAATTAAAAATATATGCAAATTAAAAAACTCTACAAATTATTTGTATATAAAAAACTTATATTTGAATCCAAAAATTTTAAAATAATAATAATAATAATAATAATAATAAAAGAAAAAAAAATCCTAGTCAGCTAAAACAACAGCTGTTTCGCCAAAACCCCAAACGAAAAGCGCTCAGCTGCTGGTAGTCGAAGGACGCAGAGCGAGAAAGAAACAGAGAAAAAAAAAAAGAGAAAATCCCTATTCTCTTCTTTCTCTCTCACACTGTCCGTCTACTACTACTACTACTACTACTACTACTACCCTTTTCTTCCGTTCCGACAATTCGACCCCACAATTTCTCCGCATTTCACTTTCTCTCTCTAAATTCCTCTTTTAGAAATCAAACCAATGCCAGCTTCTCCTTCAGGCAATCTCTCCCTTTTTTTCCATTTTCCCTCCTCCAATTGTAATTCTTTTAAATTTACCAAAATACCAATGTCTTTTTTTTTTAATTAAAATTAAATTAATTCTTTCTTTTTCATTCTAACAGATCGTCGAGGTCGATGGAAGCGGCGGAACCGAGAGCGAAGAGCCAAACATCTCCAAGAAGAATACGACGTCGTTCCGGAGGAAGACGAAGAAGAAGAAAACAACAACGAGGACCTCGACAACCACGGTGAGAACTCCGGGGACGATGCTGCTGCTGGAGCCTTAACTGATCCGTCCTTAGCGGGGTCTAGCGAGAGTAAGGCCTTGGCTGATGGTGGAGTTCGCATATCGGAGTTCCCCGTCGTGGTTAAGCGGACGATGAACTGTCCTCACGATTCCGTAATGGCGATCGTGGAGGCTGAACGGGCGGGTTTGGTTGGGGATAGCAAGGAGCACCAGCAGGTGGCGCTGCCGGTTTTGGAGAATGTTTCACACGGGCAGTTACAGGCGGTTTCGGTGGATACTCCCAATCCGGAGAAGTATGTGATTACCCCTCCTGCGATAATGGAGGGGCGTGGCGTTGTTAAGAGGTTAGGGAGTCGGGTTCATGTCCTGCCAATGCATTCAGGTTCGGTTTCGCTCTCTTTTTAATATCTCTATACTCTAAATTTTTGCTTGGTTTCAGTTTTGAGTCTGTCTAGGGCGAACTATAGGAATAATCTGTAAATAACTCTTAAGTTTCGAAGGACAACATGTTTAATTTCACGAGTTTCTGATAAATGAAAGATATAACTAGATTGAGCTTATTTATGTTAATTGACTAAGCTGCATTTAGATATTTCTACGGTGTTTTCTTAAAATTTGAACTTCTTTCTATATTTCTTAGTGTTACATGGAAATACTCTCTTTAAATACTGTTGCTATTAGTAGGATTGAAGTGTTTGAAAGATTTAACTTTTGTGGACTGCTCTGAGTGAACTCACCCTTGTAATATTTTTGGTGATACTCAATGTTCTTTTTTTCTTAGCTTTTATATTAAGATGCACTGGTGGAGAAGTCTGGTGGGAAAGTATATACTTGAGTTCCTTTCTGTATTTGATTGGGGAACTTTGTATCGATCTTTATGTGACTCGGTTAGTACCTAGGATAAACCTGTGTTTAATTGGAGTCTATGAGAGGTCTTAATTTGGTTCAGATGAGAAATACAATCTAAACTAAAACAAAAGTTAACAAAATTGCAGTTGGGTTGGTTCTGTTTACTTGATATGAGTTTCATTTTATATCTGTCGCTTAAAGAGTACAAACAAGATATTACCACACATTTCTTTTTGTTAAGCTCTGAGCTTATCTTGCACCCTTTCTTTCTGCAATTACTTATCTTCTTAGATGTGTTTTAATATTTGGTTGTGTTTGTGGGATTCCCTTGCAAGCAGAGTGGTTTTCACCGGCCACCGTGCATCGACTAGAAAGACAAGTTGTGCCACATTTTTTCTCTGGAAAATCACCGGAACATATGCCGGAAAAATATATGGAATGTAGAAATCACATTGTTGTCAAGTACATGGATAATCCAGAGAAGAGAATTACAGTTTCTGATTGCCAGGGGTTAATAGGTGGTATCAGTAATGAGGATTTAGTTCGAATTGTTCGGTTTCTTGATCATTGGGGAATTATCAATTATTGTGCAGCTGCATCAAGTCACGAGACATGGACTGGGGGCTCCTACTCAAGGGAGGATCCAAAGGGTGAGGTTCATGTGCCATCAGCCGCATTAAAGTCTATCGATAGCTTGATAAAATTTGATAAGCCAAAATGTAGGCTTAGGGCAGCTGATGTTTATTCATCATTGTCATGTCATGATGATGATTTCTCTGACTTGGACAACAGAATACGAGAGCGCTTATCTGAAAACAATTGCAGTTCTTGTTCTCAGCCTATTCCCACTTCATATTATCAGTCACAGAAGGAGGCATGTGCTTTTTATTCCTCTGTTAATTTTTATTTCTTTCATGCTAAGCCTTAATAATCCTTCTTCTTTCCATTATTCATCCAACCAATTTCTTGCTGTGTGTGTACAATTTTTAACTTAAAAATTTAATCAACTACAGAAAACAAATTGAATTTGGGCCATTTAGTATGTACCAAACACTCAGGCATATATGATATGAAACAGAATCATCATTAGCATTTATGAGGGGATGGGTTCCTTGGTATTTTATTACTGCTCTTTTACTTTTGGGTTTTGGGAAATAATTAATACCTTTCTAGATGTACTCAGAGAAAACCCTTTTGGTTTAGGATTTTGGGCAGGCTTCAATATGTCAGCATGTTGACTGCCTAGCTCACACCCATCTTTGAGGTTGGAGCTCAAAGCTGTCATCTTGATTCATCATCTGACAATATATATATTTTTAAAATCAGTAGCACGTGCAAATACCTTCAACAATGTAAATTGGTTAATAAAACATTACACTTCAGTTTTGAGGAATTTTTCTATTGGAGATTGCTATAGTGTGTTTTTTTTTTTTCTTTTGTAATTAACTTGGTGATTCCATCTCTAGATGCGGTTCCATAATGTTAGAAACACTGTGACTTTTTGTTCTTACATTTTTCAAATGCTGTCCTGTCTGTTTATATTCATCAACAGAAAGGAACTAGGTACTTTAATCCACTATTGCTTTAATCTATATGAAATGAAAGTTGCTGAGAGTCTATATTTCTTTTTTGCTGTGAGGGTACTAGTTACTTTTATATTTGATTTTGGTGGTCAAGAAAGGAACAACAATAGATTTCTATCCTCATTTATAGAGAAGAAAGTTTCTTGCTAAAGCTTGCACTTGTTTGTAGTAACTAATTGTAGTTCACTTTAAGATGTGGTTTAGAAAGCTGAGTTAGAGAGAAAAAAAGAGTGCTTGGCTTGACTTGATTTGGTTTCTGAGCATCTATTAACTGTTTCATTGAGTGGTTTAGGTTACTTTGGGGTGTATTTTGGATGTAATAACTGATGGTGGCAATAAGGCTTAAATGTCAGACATTCAAATCATGCATATCAGTTAGAAAATATCTCAACATGATTACTTGCTTAAAAGTATTCAGAAAATTGAATCATGAAGAGATCATTGGTTTGATTCCAGTGTAAAAGCAATAAATTTTGAGAAGTACTTTTGAGTGGAGCTAAGTCTAAAGTGCTATTGCTTGACTCTGAAATGTTGTGGTTGTACATGAACATAGAGTGCTGGGGGAATTTGTAAACTATCTTTCAAGATGTTGATTTACCTAAATCTTGATGTTAATTGTGCTCATTTGTTTCTATTATTGGCTAATTGACAGGTTGACACGCTATTGTGCTCTGATTGCTTCCATGATGGGAGACTTGTTCCTGGTCATTTAAGCATAGATTTTGTTAGGGTATATTCAACAGAAGATTATGGCGACCTAGATGGAGAAAGTTGGAGTGATCAGGAAACACTACTGCTGCTTGAGGCAATGGAAATTTACAATGAGAACTGGAATGAAATAGCTGAGCATGTTGGCACTAAGTCTAAAGCACAATGCATACTTCATTTTCTGCGTCTACCCATGGAGGATGGCATATTGGAAAATGTAGAAATTCCAAGCATGCCCAAGTTAGTGATTGTTTCTAAAGGAGATGGCCAAAGATTGCACTCAAACATGAATGGGAGTCTACCAGGTTTCTTATTTACTTAGGGTCTCTATCCTGCGTAGAAACTAAGATGTTATGTATGTAAATCTTTTATCTAATTTTTGCCTGCTTTTTAGGGCCCACCCTTCGAGATGCTGATTCTGAAAGCAGGCTTCCTTTTGCAAATACTGGGAATCCAGTTATGGCTATGGTATGTGACTAGTTTATTCAGACACCTAATTACTCTTTCACTATTTTATTAGTAGCTTGAGATTTATAATTATGAATACATCACTGCAGGGCGTGAGCATTGAAACAGTTATTGTTTATTTCTGTGCTAATGCCCTCAAATTTAAGTTCATTACATAATGACACTTTAATGTACTCTGCTGATATTGTAGCATCCATCTTTTGGCACAAGAGAAATAGGGAAGATGGAAATGCTGCTAATATTGGAATTATCCTTTTGTCTTTTTTGGTCAGATAAATAGTGGAATTATGATTAGTATTAAGACACAATTTTTTTTGGTGTCATAATGAAGTCACGTTTAAAGATCATTTCCTTACTGCAGCAGGTAGTTGGGATGAAAAAATTGTAAATGGTGATTAAAATTTGAAAATTTCCCAAATTTGGCACCTTTATTTTTGAAAATTTCATTTCATCATTAATGAGTTCTATGCTATAGGTGAACTTTTTTCCCAAGAGATAGTGATGAAGATTCAAATAAAGATGCATCTCATTTTATTGCTACCTTTTTTCATTCATGGGTCAAACTTGTGGATAATATTCTAGGTTGCTTTTCTGGCCTTTGCTGTTGGACCAAGAGTTGCTGCAGTCTGTGCCCACTCATCCTTGGCAGCATTGGCTGAAGACATACATAAGGAAGGTTCAGGGCATGGTAATAGGTTAGTGTATATCCTTGTGATTCCAAAACTTTCAATGCTATTAATATGAGTTTCCTCTTTAGTGTCACTTTAATGCGCATATAAAAGCTTCTATCCAACTCATGAAGATTATATGAATTAAATATTTGAGCATTTCATTGCTTTGATGGGATTGGACCACCTAAAGTTTTTTAATCAAAGTTCCACATGTTAATTTGCTAATTAAGATCCATTTTGAACTGTGAAGGATGAACATGGAGAGTGTACATAGTAGAGAAGGTGGTTTTCATGGTTCCGTTCACAAAAAAGGTAGGCCATAAGTTTAACTTTCACTATTTTCACTATATTTTAATTCCTTTTCTCTCCCTTATTAGTTTTATGTATTTTGAATTATTTTGTGCATAAATTTCAGAGAACTCTGCAATACACAGTTCATTTGGTCAAAACGAGGCAGAGGGTCATACACTATCTGCTGAAAAGGTAAAAGCTGCCGCCAAAACCGGCCTTGCAGCTGCAGCTATGAAGGCAAAACTGTTTGCAGATCATGAGGAAAGAGAAATTCAAAGGCTATCAGCTAATATCATAAATCATCAGGTATTTTCCTATTTCTTTTCATGTGCATGTGCATCTGCTTTTTCAGTCATATATTCCTGGCAATATGCTGAGCAATTGTTGGCTGAAAAGAGAGTTGACCTCCTTTAAAGACTTGAAACCAGGACCAAGAGGACTTATCCTGTTTCATTAACTGTATGCCTTTGTTATTTAACCTGGAAAATGGAACAAAAGAAAAGCCAAAGGTGCATGCCTTTGTTTTTTGAAACTATAAACTTAGATATGTCTTAAATTTGAAATATTCATTGAGAAGTTCTACAGCTTTCGGGATCTGCTTCAAAACTTGGTCGTAAAGGTTGTTCTTGACCCTTAAAATCTTCTATGGATGCAGCTTTTAAGTTCAAGTTTACATGTTTCTTTAGCTATTGATTCACATATCTGTTACACCCTGGATAAATTAGGAGTCCCTGGCTTGGATATTGATAAATTTTGCAAACTATGTGTTTTCTGTTCCTGCATGCTTTCAGAAACCACAGGCTACCAAAGAGTATCGAAGCTTTATATTAAGATGCCAGTGCCCCTTTTGCATCCCAAGTTACCTTCTATCATTGTTTTAAAGTTTCTTCCACGGACTTCTGGTGATTGTGGTGGATGAAGATGCAACAATTAGATATTTGGAGCTTCTATTGAAAATTCTTACTCTTGGGACTTCCAAAACATGATATTTTGTCATTCCTTTCATTTGTATTGTAGATAAACTTGTTTTCAATCTGTATCTCAGTTGAAGAGGTTGGAGCTGAAGCTCAAGCAGTTTGCAGAAGTGGAAACCTTACTCGTGAAAGAATGTGAACAAGTGGAGAAAGCAAGGCAAAGGTTTGCTGCTGAGAGGGCTCGCATTGCATCAGCTCGATTTAGACCTGCAGGAGTCACTTCACAAATGAGTCTACCTGCGGTTGCTTCTTCCATGGTTAACAATAACATTGGCAACAATAGGCAACATGTACAGCCAAGCATATCTGGATATGCCAGCAACCAACCAGTACATCCCCATATGCCATTCATTTCACGCTAACCAATGTCTCCCGTGGGTTCAAGGTTGCCCCTTTCGGCCGTGCAGGCATCTGCATCAGCACCTCCTAATGTCATGTTCAACTCCCCAGGGAATGCTCCACCCACTCTTAATCATCCACTGATGAGGTCTGTATCTGGGACTAGCTCTGGTCTAGGTTGAAATGGAAGACTTGAGTGTAAATTTGGATTTTCTGGTTGGATTCCATTGGTGTCGTTGCTCAGTTTCTGCACCTTGACGAGAACAGGTAGCCCGGGCAAACGGTGAAAGCATCATGCGGCTTCTATGTATGGAAGTTACCTGAAGCAATATTTAGGGCTTGTAACACTGCACAATTAAGGTAGCATTCGGATTTAATTCTGGGTTCTTGAGGTTATACCAAAAATTAGTTTTGTATAAAAATCATTTAAAAATTTTAGAATATCCCAAGGGAATAAAAAATCTAATTTGTTTTTTTTTTTTTCTCGTCTCATTGACGGTTTTTATTTGGTTAATTCTTTTAATTTTATATCGAAATATTCAAAATAGAATTAATTAAATTAAATTATTTTTATTAATTGAATAGAATTTTTTTATTTTAAAAATTTAATTGATTGGCATTTAATTTGATTAATTCAATTAATTTTTTAATTTACTACTAAAATATATTTAAATTAAATTATGTTTTAAATTTTAAATTTTTTATAATTGAATAAAATTAAATAAAATTATTTACTAAAGTATTCAAATATTAAAATACTAAATTAAAAATTACAATAACTTATAAAATAAAATGATTTGATTTATGTATTTCTTGTTTTGTATTTGAATTTTTATTATAATTTGATTAAAATTTTGATTAATTCAGTTATCAAATTAAATTAATTAAAAATTAAAATTCTTTTAAAATTATCTTGAATAATTGATTGAAATTAATTTGATAATTGATCGATTAATTGAATTGATTTAATTGAATTAAATCAGAAATTAATTCAATTTTTTTGCAATGTGAACAGTCTATCCTATACATTTCCTCTATGTTATGTTTTATTTTATTTTTGGTTTTTTGGTGCATAAACTGAACAAGTACAAATAATCAAATAGGGCTCGTGAGGCGAGAAGAGTGTCACGGATAATGAATCATAGATTTAAGTATTTTATCTTTTATTTTATAATTGAGTAATCGAGTCTGGTTTCTACCAATTCAGCTGACTCTTAATATTTAATAGTTGCTGGTAAAGAAATAGCAGCATATATCTGAGAAGAAATAAGGTAAAATATTGGAAGGAAAAAAATGTGGAAGAATAGTGGAACTACGGCTTGAAAGACTTTTAAGCGAGAGATCATCTTTATTCATTACATTACTAAACTATATACAAGAAGAAAAAGAGAAAAAAAAGTCAAAATTAAACTTCCAAACGTGCTTCTAAACATTTTCATCATACGACTCCCCAAGTAGACAAGCTCCTCTATCAGACCTTAACAAATTAGTTGGTCGTCAAACTTGTTTTGAGAGATCAGAAACTACCTACTCTGATAGTGCGATGTCAGCTAAATCCTGCCTGTAAGGAACATTGTCAGCCTCGAAGGACTTGTCAGTGTTGCCTAGCCCACTTTCCAACCGAGCTTGGATAGCTGGGTCATTATTTTCGGGCTCGATATATATTACAACAGTGTCTTTTCGGAAGGTTAGATAGATGATTGCCAGGATGTATATTGCCATGAGAGGAAATACAATGATTCCTATGCATACATTCCCAACTTTTGGTAAATTATTATGAATCAACCAACCTATAAAGGCTGTGGTTAGGTAATAGATGTTGACGCCGATGATTCCAAGGCCTAAAATCCATGAAATCACAGTGATCTGCAAAGCAAAGATATGATTAGCTAAAATATAAATAAGAACAGAACAGACCAGAAAAAGGAAATTAAAGAAGACATAAACGGTCCTGCTGATCTACTACTCACATATATGGAATTCTTGTATGGTCCCGTCTTGGCTGAGCTGCTACTGAATTTAAGAAGTGGGATCAGAGAAAATGGTAGCTCAAATGAAAGAATCATCTGCAAAATCCATATAAAAAGTACAATTAGTGTAGCTTAAAACATGGATTATTGCATGAATATATATACTGATAAATCAATTTTAGTCATTTTCTGACCGATGCAATGAGGATTAGTCTTCCGGCCCCATGAGATCCACTAATGATGGACACTATAAGACTAGGTGTAAGAGCGATACACCTAGTCATCAAATTCCTCATCCATTTCTTTATTTTAAGATTCAAGAAACCCTGAAAGAATCATCAATAATAAAGATTAAGTGTCATTAAATTAGTAACATAAAATTTAAGAAGGTTTAATCTGTAAGACCTGCATGATAAATTGTCCTGCATAAGTGCCTGTAATGGTAGAGCTTTGCCCCGAGGCAAGAAGTGCAATGGCATAAAGGGTTGAGCTAGACTTTCCCAACACATTCTGCAATAGCAAAAATCATAGAATTTTGTTTTTGTTAATTAGGAATATTAGCCTAGCTCCTAATTGTACCTTTTTTCTTAATAAATATTACTGTGCTAGTAATTTAAGACCTGGAGCAGAAAGGAAGCAGAGTCGAGGTTAACATTGTTGCATCGATCTTGGTTATCACTCGAAAGATTATCGGCTGCGCAGACGGTGCCCGACACTGAAACAACCGATAGGTTGATCAAAAACGCCACAAACAACGCAACGCCCGTCTCTATCAGGTAAAATCTACGGGCAGCCTGATCAAATTAAAGACAATAACAAAGAAAAAATAGCACATGATCAAACCAGAACTAGCGCATTATTACAACATCATAATGATTTTTTTTTTCCAAATTATAAATGAGACCATTTTTGCTTAAATTTTTAATTGCTAACCAAATTTTAAAAATTCAATTTTACTTTTCTAATCAAAGTGTACTACGTTTGTATGATAATGACGAGATGATTTATAGTAACCCATCATTAGCTTTGTTGAAAAACATAAAATATTCATTATTTCTATTTAAATAATTTTCTATGTCAATAAATAATTTGTGTAAGTTGGAAAGTGATGTCTCGACTTGAAATTTTGTTTAATCATAAATTAAAATCTCAAATCACTATAAATATATATATTTTGGAATTAAAGAAAATTACAATGATTATTATATATTGATATTTAAATCTTAAATTTATTTGATAATAATAAAATATTTGCATAAATCAACTTAATTAAAATGTAAATATTAGATAATATTAATTTTACATGTCTCAAAGAATTTGTTTATTTTGACTTACATTGATGCCTCGAACAGTCTTAGATACTTTTCTAGAGAGCACGAGAGCAGAGTGAAGAAAGAGATTGTGCCTTTTGAGAAGTACTATAATAAAGTTATTACTGCAAAAGAATTATTAGATTTAATTGAATTTTTTAATGCTTCGACTTTTAATGTCCGAAAGAAATTATTAAGAGAATGACAGCTTGTCAGATTCTCCTGTTCCAGCCTTTATACTTGAAAAAGTTTCCCTGAATTCATTCCAGCTGGAATTGGAAATCTGGTTTTCCATCGAATTAGAAAAAATTTCCTTGAATTCATTGCTATTAGAACGAAAAATCGAGTTTTCCACTCGAAATTGATGTAACTATAAAGCATTTGTTTTTCTTTTGAAATCAGATTATGTTCGGACAAAAAAAGTCGCTACATTTAGCATTTTCCATTGTTCCTTGTTATATATAGAATAGAAGAAAGTTACTGATCTTACGGTGTAACAATGGCGCCCAAGAGGGCAACGGTGTCCGGAATGGCTCCTTGGCCTGCAAGATTAGGCACAAACATGCCCTTAATCACGCCAGATGCTGGAGGTTTTACTAACTCATTTCCCCGAAGAAACATCCGGCCATTACAAATACCATCATTGCTATTAACGTTTCCAGCTTCCTTATCTGATACAAAAAATCAAGAAAAACAAAGTTAGAGATGCTTGATAATCAAAATTTTAAGACAAAACCCTTTTAGTTATTTATTTTGTCAATTTTATATGTTAAATATACAACTTAAAATTGATTGATTGTACGTGGAGAGACTCAATTTAAATATAAAATTATAAAAAATTAAAATTTTATTATTTTAATATGCCTCTATCAAATATAAATAGAGATAAAAAAATTTATCATATGATATATTTAGAAATGATAATAGCAAAAAATCTTGATTATGATAGTATATTAAGTATGTAACTTAAAATCAATTGATTATAAGTGAAGGGGTCTAATTTGAAATAAAACTACAAAAATTTAATATTTATTACTTTAACATTATAATCAAAGTAAATTATATATTAATTTTCTTTCATTAAAACTTCTTAGATTTTTTGCTACTTCACTCATTGAATAAAAAAAATTAAAAAATAAAAAGTCTTTAAATTATAATTTAATAATCATTTAAGTCTTTAATATTTTATTATGTAATCAATCAAAGTTTTAATCTTCATTTTGATTTAATTGAACATTTGATTAGACGAAATTTAATTCCGTGATAAAATTGAATTAATTAATTTTTTAATTATAATCAATTGAGTTTTTAAAGTGATCTTAGAGAGAGGAAGAGAGAAAATAGAGAAGAAAAAAATTATATTTAATTTTCAGGTACATTAATTGCACAATATGATAAACTTTTAGTTATTTTATTGATATCATATAAAATTTTATCTTAATTAACAAAAAATTAATGGTATTAATTTTTTTATCCAAATAAAAAGGTTTGATTGGATGCAATTAAATATTAAAAATTTAATTGATTAAAATAAAAAAATTTGAATTAATTTTTTAATTATAAGTAAGAGATTTTTAATACCATTAGCCAAAAGAAAAACATAAGCCACTAATACTTATAAATATATCTATTATAATTAATCATGACAACATTTTCATTAAAAAAAATGACAACATATCAGCAAAGTTAAGTTGTGGTTGAAAGGGTAAAAATTAATAAGTTTTTTTAATAAAAAACTCAAAATTGAAAAAAAAAAACTTGTGCTTCTTTTGTATAATTTTATGTTAGACCTAGGAATGAAAACACACAAAAGTTTTCGTAAATAATCTTAGTTAGAAGTGTGATATAACAGTCGATCCGACATGGGACAAGGATGTGCGGTCATAATCGTAAAATAAAAGCACTTGTCAAGAATCAAGATACGTTAAATTAAGGTTAAAATAACAAAAAAAAGCCCATAAAATTTTACTATTTTATTTAAAATTACATTAAAATATAATTTTAACATTTAATTTATACCCAAAAAAATTTTTAATATTTAATTTGTACTTAAATAAAATTTTAATATAAATTAATATTTCATTTGAAATAAAATTTTAATTGGATACAAATAAAAAAATAACAATTTATTTAGATATAATAAAAATATAAAAATTTATTTAAAAATAAAATAGTTCAAAATTTTTTTTTTTTGTATTTTAACCATAAATTAAATATATTCTAGTCCATATTAATCTACAATTAATTCTGTCTTCCTTCAAATTGAAATTAAAGTAATAAACAAGTTCTTATCAATAAGTTGAAATCAATATATATATATATATATACAATAATTTAATTACTAAAATTTATTTATATTTTTGTGCCTAATTTAACTCACGTTCTGAAAAGTAGAATAATCAACCGTGTAGGCTACAAGAAAAGTACTTAATTATATAGTATATGTTTACCCTTACTTCATAAGAAAAAACCGTAATTTGGGTTTTAACTACATTATAATTTGAGTTTGTTTTTATATAATTCCAGTGAAAGTTTTTTACTCTATAAGTACAATTAAAAAATCAGTATGTCTCACTTTTTAATTAATTTTTTTAATTATATTATATAGTTAGAAGAAAACAATTAATTTTGCCCTTGAAACGACATTTTTATACTTTCCTATTCCAAATTAAATGTTCATACAAGGATATTACCCCAAATCTTTGCAGGCCAAGGAGGAGGAGGGTGCTTAAACCAGTGCAGAGAACTCCAATCCACACAGGGATGTGAAACAGTATATTTAGTGCAAAGGCTGTCCCAATAACTGCCACAAATAAATGCATCAAAACATGTAGAGCATATACAAAATATATATACACATACTATAAAATTATATGTTTCTTCATTCCTTGTTTTGACTTGGGATTTTCAACTAAATTCATCTAATTTTAATGAATAAAATAATTCTGTTTGATTATTTGCCTTGAACCTCTTATATAACACATGCAAACTTATTCTGTATGTTGCAGAAGTTAAATTAGTGAACAATTTGGTAACTGAAACAATAAGAAACCTTCAGGTATATCAGCAGCTATGACAGCAATTTCTGCAAATAACCATAGGCAATACTTCACCAATTTTGGGTACTCAGCCCTGCACACTTCTGATAGGTGCTTGCCTGAAAGAAAGAAGTAACTCAGAATTGATTATATCAGAAACGAAGTTGATTAATTATTAGTATGAGATACTTAATTACCGGTGCTGACTCCAAGATTTGCTGCAAGAGACTGGATTATGAGAACGAAGACCATTCCAATGAAAAGCACCCACAGTAGCTGAAAATTGCAACATATATGACAGCCAAATTAGCATAATATTCTTGCATTCAATTAAAGACTTTCTAATGTTTTTGTTCTCTTGAATTTACCTCATATTTATGGTTGGCTCCTGCTTGCAAATCAGTTTCCACTGTGACACGACGCCAATCAGATGATGATCATAAGTTGCAAACATAGAAAATGATTGATGGAGGGAGGGAGCCGAGAGGTGACTTACGGTTGCCAGGATCAAGATAAGCAATTGAGACAAGGAAACCAGGGCCTACAAATGACAAAAACTTTCTCCATCCAGGTTTCTAAACAACAAAAAAGACCAATCACAAACCAAAATACATAAGCTATATATGAATCAATGAAGTTAAGAAACTAGTGTATCAAATTCTAAAAAGAAACCAGACCTGATCATGTTTTGGGTCATCATGATCAAAACGTTTGCTGTTGCTACCACAGAAGGATTGTGGGGTTGTTTCCTCCACATCGATAGCAGCTATGCGGTTGCTTCCACTACCCGATGATTGAGGAAGTGAAATATCACTCCCTTGCTGTTGCTGCTGCTGCAAACTTCCCATCTCTCTCACTTTAAATCTTTAACTTACTATATCTCAATGTCTGTAATATCTTAAGGAAACTTCTAAGAACTACAGTGACACAAAGTAGAAACTGGAACTGTATTTATATATAGTGCAACATGTAGAATGCGTACATCGAACATTTGGCTTAAAAAGGACAGCGTAGCAATCCATATTCCGTTTATATTTTTCAATTCCTTTATTCTCTCCCAAACGGTAATGAGACATTACCGCATGCCTGACAAGTCACTGTCATTCCCTTTGTAAAGAATAACTTGCGCCTTGGTAAAGAATGATTTCTCTCTATAATAGTAGTATTAAAATGTTCAATTTTTCACATACTAGCTATAAATTTTATAATATGATGCTTGTATTCTTATGAGGTCAATTAAAAATTTTTTTTTACCAAATATCAATAACGTAAAAATTATAGTTATAATCACGAATTGCATTTCATATAAAAAATCAATAAAATAAATTAAACATGCATTGATCAACCAAACCAGTGTAATTAAGGTTTTTTTTTTTTTTTTGATAGTTAAGGAATCAGAATTTATTAATGATTAAAGAGAGCCCACAGAATGACAAAGCCCTTGAAACTAGATAAAACCAGGGAATTGTCTCAACACCTGAAACTAGCAAAAACAACATTAAGAACTGAATAACAAGCTAAAACTAAGACATTTATCAGAATCACCACCATGCGTCAAATGGCTTCGTTCTATTTGCTTCTGCTTTCGCTAGATGATCTGCCATGCTGTTCTTTTTCAAAAGACACCTCTCCAATTACTTGCAGTAAGTAGATTATTTCATTAAAAGTTTTCCACAGTCTTCATGGACTATCCAACACTTTATTGACCCATCTGACTGCCATAGATGAATCAGATTCCACAATTAGCCGCCTTTTACCAAACCGTTTAGTTTTGATGGATACCTTTAACTCCAATTTGATACCCAATAGCTCAGCAACATCCTAACTAATGTTAAGATTATTATTATTATTTAAATAAGGTTAAGTCATGTTTTACAACATGATGTCAACAATAAAATGAAAAAACCTAATCCTCTCATACGTAGTTATAAACATATAATAATTAATCATGATAACATTTTCATTTAAAAAAAATGACAACATATCAACAAAGTTGACTTGTGAATGAAAGGATTAAAATTAATAGTTTTTTAATAAAAAATCCAGAGTTGAAAAAAAAACTAGTATTTTTTTATTAATTAGGATAAAACCTAGGAATGAAAACAGACTAAAGTCTTCTTAAATAATCTTAGTTCGAAGTTAGATATAACAAAGTCGTCGGACTCGCGACAACGATGTGCTGTCATAATCATAAAGTACATGTAGTGGTGCTTGTCAGGACAAGTTAACTTTAAAAAACGAGAAAAAACTTTTATGAATTTTATCATTTTATTTAGATAAATATTTTATAATTTTATTAGATTTAAATAAATTTATAATGATAAATTTACACTTAAATAAAATTTTAATTTATACATAAATAAGTTCTAAATTGTATTAATTAATCTTTTATTTAAAATAAAATTTTATTTATATACAAATAAAAATGAATTTATTTGAGTGTAATAAAAATATAAAAAATTTATTTTAAAAAATAAAATAAGTCAGAGGTTTTTTTTTTTTTTTTTTTTAATTTTTTAACCTGAAACTAGATATATGTAATCTGTATTAGTTCATAGTTAGTTCTGTCCTTTTTCAAATTTCAAAATTTAAAAATTTGATGAAATTAAAGAAATAAACAAATTCATATCAACAAGTTGAAATTAATATATACAATAATTTCGTTACTTAAATATATTTATTTATTTGTACTTAATCCAACCTACGTTTTGAAAAGTAGAATAATCAACAGTGGACTATTAGAAAAGTACTTCATTATACGTACAAGAATAAAAAACTTTTAAACTAAAATTAAATAATTATTTAAATTCATATTTTTTATTGTAATTAATTGAGTTTTTAAGCATTTATTTCATCCAATTGAGTCTTTATGAGATAAAAATTAATTAACTGTCAACACATATTTTCATTTAGTAGAGAATTTAATTGAGTGAATATAGATGTTTCAGAACTCAATTAGATAAAAAAAAAATGATTTAGAATTCAATTAATTGCAATAAAAAAAACTTGAATTATTATTTAATTTTTATTTAAGATATATAATATACGCTTACCTTATCTTCATAAGCAAAAAAAGTAAAATGGGTTTTAACTATATTATATTATAAATTCATTTTTGATATATTATTAGCGAAGTTTTTCAATTTTATATTTAAAGTTAAGAGATTGATATATATCTCACTTCTTTTTTAATTAATTTTTTTATTTTTTCTTATTATATTATATAGTTGGAAACAAATAATTAATTTTGTCCTTGAAATAACAATTTTATAGTTTCCTATTCCTAATTGAATGTTCATACAAAGAAATTACCCCATATCCTTCGCCGGCGAAGGAGGAGGCAAGGGCGGACGGTGATAAGAGCTTGATGGGGCCTTGCCCTCTCCAAAACTTTTAAATCCCCTTTAGTATATATAATATATTAAATAAAATTAAATGGTCCTCTTAAATTAAAATTATGAATTTTATTTTTTATTTTTACTTGATCTCAAAATTTAATTTTATTCATTACTATATAAAATATATTAAAATCACATTATTATTTATCTATTATTATATAATCAATTATTATTTACAAATTCTTAAAAAAATAAAAATTATCCCAAGTATCGAATCAATGTAAATTTAACTCAAATCAAATTGTCTTTCTAATTTTTTAAGGTCAAATTATGTAAACAATCTTTGTATTTTATCGAAATTTATAATTGTTTTTAAAATATAATTCATTTCATAAAAACCACATGTCTGCTTGGAAGCTTGGCACTAGGTAGGTCTCTCATTCCCTGAAGCAAACCAACCTTTCGAAAGAGTGTTTTTTCATAAACCTAAAATATTCCAATTTGCAAATATTTTATTGTAATAGATGACGTGGCAACAGAAACTATATTCCATTGGGGCATAGTAGGACAGGTGCTTCAGGGCGGACGCCATAGGATAACAAAACTATGCGTTGACGCCTTAGGACAAAGTTTCGTTTCATAAAATGGAGGTCAAATGGCGCTTCTGTAAATCATGACAATGATAAGGTTTCACGGAGGTCAAATGGCACTTGCGTAGTCATGACAATGATGAGGGCTCTCCGTAGAAACCACGTCTGCTTGGAGGCTTGGAACTTGGCAGGTATCTCATTCCCTGAAGCAACCCAACCTTTCGAAAGTGTGTTTTCTTAAAAACGTCAAAATTCCTATTTTATTGTAATAGCTGACGTGGCAACGGAAAATCTATTTTATTGGGCCATAGTAGGACAGGTACGTCAGAGCGGATGCCTTAAGATAACAAAACTATAGGCGGACGCCTTGGGACAAGGTTTCGTTTCATAAAATGAAGGTCAGATGGCTATTGCGTGGATCATGACAACGATAAGGGCCTTTCCATAGAAAAGAAAGGCAGGCATTTCTTTCTAAATACTTGGATTGCGCTTGGTATTGCGGAAGTTGTCAAATTCAATTGAGTGCAAATACATTAGGAAGAGACTGCAATGTGAGATTACTGTTGCAATGAGATTGCTGTTTAAACCTGCTACAAAATAACTTTTCTGGTGGAAAGTTTTACTCGACAACTTTGCCCTCTCCCTTTCCTCTCCATTTATTAAATCTCAGTCTCCTCATTTTCATCCTCTGCTCTCTCTCTTTGTGCCGCCTCCATCTTCTTTTCCATATTTACATCTGCAATTAACTGAGGTTCTTATTTGTTAGTTTCCTCCCTTCGTAAGAAGCCGTTACCATTGGAGCTGGATATTATTATTTTCCAGATGATTTTCTTTGGCTCTCAAATAACTGTAAAGGAAGAAGTGAAAAGTGCCCTTTAACATTTTGAAGAAATCTGCATTTAGCCCGTAGCAGGCAAAATTTTGAATACAACTCGTGCTCCCTTCAATAGTACGGGGAAAAAAACCTCATCCAATAAAAAAGAGAAAAAGAAAATTGATATTTGTTGCTTGAGAACAGACTGATGGTTCTGCTTGATATACAAAATCCAACTTGATTTCAACTTGCAGTTGCTAAGAGGGAAGAGTACCAGCAGGTGATAAGCCAGGATTTTAATTTGTAAGTCTTACGTTATGTCTTGTGTGTTTCCACATTTTTTACGACTTTGGAACCTTTCAACTTCGAGATGAGTGAATAATAATATCTATTGTTTTGCCATATTGTAATTTTATATCTATTGTTTTGCCATGTTGTAATTTTAAGATGAGTGAATAATTAAATTTAATATTGATTCCTAATAAACTAAAATTATTATTAATATTATGAAATTATCAGTTAATTATAAATATTATAATATAATTGTTAATGTAGATAAATAATTTGTTTTGAATATATAAAGGTAATTTAGAAAATTTAGACTACATTCCCAATAAAATACAAGTTTACCAAATATTTTAATGTTACATTTCCTATATTTTAATCAATACCTTGTCATATATATTAAATGCTTCAATGTTATATTCCTAGCCTTTTAATTTCTTTACAATTTAACTGATGATAAAATACCATACGCATTTTCAGGGTTGCACAACTTGGAATAAATATTCAACTTTAAAGGCAGATATTACTGATCAATAAATAAAATGAATTTATATTTAATATATTATCAGTGAATATATTCTATATACTATTAATTAATTAAATGATTCATTTTATTAATAGGTAAATTCTATTCTTTAAAATTTATATATAAAAAAATGAATATTTTTAAATAATTTATTTATTAATAAGATAATATCATCTTGTTCATCACATTAATAAAATATCATAATTTGATTCATTGATCATATATAAAATTTATATACTACAATATATCAAATATAAACCCATAAAAGATTAATTAATTCAAATTAGGTAAGGAA